TTACTGGGGGGATTTTTGGTTCTTGAACACTTTTCAATATTCAACTGTTTCCTGTCCCAAATCAAAACATAATTTTGAAATCATGAACATTTTTGTGCATAGGAAAATAGTTTGTTAGAACTCAGCAGGAACCTCCTCACTTCTCTTCCTCTGACTCTCTGTACTGCCCTCTACCCACACCTGTGACATAAATATCCCAATCTCTTCCTTAATATTTACAGTTTCTTCCAACTGTAGTGGAAGAACTGTAGTTGGTTTGCCTAACATGGGTGTAGGGTAGGTGTGTTGTGATGTTTTGTCACTCCCTCTATATAGTCCACCCTGGCATTATATGGTATAAAGAGAATCTGTTTTAAGACTAAGATCTTCCTAGCAGATGAGCCCCTGGCACTGAGAGATCATTCCTGGATTTGTGTGGTTGGTTGGCATGTCTGCTGGTATTTTGGACTCTTTTGCCATAGGCACTAATGGGTAGCTGGTATTTTGTGACATGAGACAACTTAAAATCTTACTTAACAATTCTGTCATCTTATGATTTTTTTTTATATTCAATGGAATATGAATACTTTGCATAAAGTTTAAGCTGCAAACTGCTGACTGGCTACAGTGCCTTTTGCTGAAATAAATGTTTCTTAGCTGATTGAAAAGGCCTCTGTTACATAGGCAATTGTTACCATAAGTATCTCATTAAAAATGTGGAGTTGTCTTCTGGGGGAGAAATCTTGACCCCATTGAATTCAGTGGGGCAAGACTGCACTCCAAGTAGTTAACTTAAAAAAAAATCACAACTTGCTGGATGATTGTGTAAGTAGTTACAAAATAAATAACTATAGCTTGTCCCTTCTGTCTCAACCATTTCTGTTCTTAGTACTGTTACTAAAGCAAAGACATTCCAGAAATAATCCAATAACAGATTTCTCCTATTTTTAAAAAAGGAACATACAGAACTATAAATATATACACTTAGAAATACTTTGCAATCCTCTACAGGAGTATATAATATACTCCCTTCAATACATGGCTCCCATTAGTATCAATGTAATACACTGCCTGTTGTCACATATTAAATATACATCATTTTAATCCATTAGGGATGTCTGAAAAGCAATCAAACTGAAGGTTTATGGGTTTACAATGTATATACTGTAGTTGCTAATGTGATTACCATACAGTAGTTGCAGAAATAGTACGCTACACTGATTCCCCTCCCCCTCTGTCCCCCTGTCACTCAAGGGGGAGGAGGAGGATGTTCATGGATAATTATTGATCTTATCTGGCTCTTCTCTACTTTTCTCTGTCCCGCCACACAATTTTGCCACTGTTAGTGCCTATTCCATTTTCTATCTTGCTCTTAAGACTTTGTCTTTTTTTTTTTCATCTGATAACCTCTTTTCTAAATCTTAGTATTCTCCCACTATTGAATGTTTAACTTTGTAATTTTATTATTCGGCTCTGTTCAAGTGTCTTCAAAACCAACTTGTGTATGCATAATATTCAGCCTATTGGACTTCTTTGGAAAGTCTGAGTGAGATCCTCAGCTGGTGTAAACTGGTGTGGCTCTAGGGACTGTATTTATTCCAGCTCAGGATCTGGCATAGTACACTTTATATACTGATTCATCCAGAGTTCCTTTATTGGTGTTGGAAGGGAAGATCATTGTTTTAAATAAGAAAGAGAAAAGAACAAAAGACAAGCATGGAGAATTGTATAACATTTTATGAATGCCTCATGATAATGGGCCCAATCCTACTCCTCTTGAAATAAATGGGACACTTTACCACTGAATACAATGGGCGCAGAAATGCACCAACAAATCTTTCCAGAGATTTATAGTATTTAATAGTTTGCAGGAGACAAAAGCCACTTGGCCAGCTTCTCACTCTTGTGTATATAACACACACACACACACACACACACACACACGAGAGTTAATGAGTTCAGTTTTTCTGGACAGGATATATAAATATATTTGTGAAAATTATATCACATATCCCTAAACAATTGCTATAAATCAATGTTATGCATTACTGCAAAACCTAAATAGGAGCATATTCAAAATTGAAGAGGGTTATGCAATTGTTTTCTGAGACAATCTAGCACAACCAGATTGCCATTCTTTTAAAAATCCCCCTAGTTAATCCTCAAACAAAACCAATGTTGTGTTCTAATCTTCAATGCAAGGATATGTTGCTATGACTAGTTCATATGCAATATGCCTCTAGTAATGCAGCAGATGTTTGCCTCCAGTTGTTTTGTGTATGCACTTTGAGCTGTAACAAACTGAAAATTTTAAATGTGCTCAAAACAAAAACTTTTCAATAATAAATTGTCTTAGCTATTGGATTTCATTACAAGTTCAAAGCATCAGGTGTGCTCTTGCCTATAGCTGTCTATAGGTTTCCACATTTTAGAACAATTTTTTTTGCTTTTCATTAGAGAAGTGGCAACATTATTTACTGGAAGTTACTTTTTAAATGATATAAAATCTATTGTGTAATAATTTGAAAGAAGCAATGAATGTGATCTATGTAATTCTAAGTAGGGAAAATTTGCTCCAACAGTTATCTTTTATCATGAAGTGCAGTAAAAATAAAATAAAAGATTGTCCTGATATATTTTTAGAAGAACTGCTTAGTGTTTTCTAAGATACAGACTATTTTCTGCCAGTGTCTAAGAAGTCATGTCAGAATCTTCTCATCAAACAAATCATTCAAAAAAAGACTGACCTGGTTATCTTTATGTAATTGTATATCAAACTTTCACTGATGATAATGGAAGTAGCTGTGCAGAAATGTTGCCATAGTCAGCTTCAAAAAAGTTCATAAAAGTTACTTTTATCATAGGTATAGTCTAAGTGACATCCTTTTTGTTTTGTTTTTAATGTCACTTTTCACAGAAACTTATCTTGATGTCATTTTTAATTGTCTGCCTTGTCTCCACAAATACTGTGGTTTCTGAACAGTTACCTGATGAGAGAAACATCTTTTAATCCTTTTGATTTTTTATTTTCTCTTTCAATTTATCCAAGGGTGATTGTGAGTAATTAAAAGTACTTAAGGGCAACAATCCGTTAACAGTACCTTGTTCCCATTGTGATATGCACAGTACCAGAAAGTTTGACTAGTGGGTCGCTTCAGACTGGGCAATAGATATTTGTTGCTACTTTGGGCATTACATTGCCATGTTTTTAAGCTCCAGGGGAACCATAATCCATTTATGAAGTGCTTTGTATGAGTACATTTTTTTTCTTTCTTTTTTTAAAAAAGAACCCCATAATATAATTTAAATGTGTCCTGTGCTCATTATAAAACCCACTGTCGTTAAAACAAGAAAATGTGAGCTCTAAAACTCAAATCAGTAGTTCATTACTAATTTGTAAACTTTATATTCAAATTTCTAACCCTCCTTTAATCTGTTACTATGGGAGTCATCTAAGACATGTTAGACCCATTTTGTAATATTTTTTAAAAATACAGCTGAATTAAAAAATTGTAAGGAACTTTAAAGAATACTGTACAATTATACCACAATGTAAAAGTATGTATAAACACATTGGCAGTAAAGCTGTAGTATAGTGTTGTGATTTTTTTACTATGAAAAAGTTGATTGTTTTTAGTTAGTATGAAGTAGAAACTTAGTAATAGCAGATATACCTTCATTGGGTGTCATTCTTCATCTGTCCAATAGTGACTCTGCATAGCAAGTCAAATGGGATCTCTTTCTTTATGCCTTTTAACTATCCCAGTAAGCAGCTGTATGCACATTTGTAATGGAAAACCTCCTGCTGAACATGCCAGCCAAACAGTATGTACTAGAAGCCTTAATCTTGTTATTGGTGAATGTCCTCATGCCTAATGATTTTATAGATAACCCAATAAAAAATGTTGAAAATCAGAAAGGCTAATGGGAAGCAAGCTCTGGAAATGGTATCAATTTTCTTGGCTCGGTCAATGAATACCTTCCTCATTTCATCGAGGCTTTTTGGTGCAGCTTGAATGGGATTATTTGGCCCCTTTGGAGTCACTCCATCTTTTCCTTGCAGACATGGTCCCACTCCATAGGCTGTAAAACTGAATCGACTTTCCCTTACCTCATCGTCCTGTTGCAAGAAAAGTAAGAAAGTTCTTCAGTTACATAGATGTCTAACCTGCTGAAAACAAAGTTCTACGTCCTTACTTCAGTGGCTTCTTTAACCCACCACTTTATATTTGCTGGATGACATCTTGCTCCCATTGAAGTCAATGGCAAAACGCCCTTTAAAATCAAGAAGGGCGGGATTTCACCAACTGGCATTTTTAAATACATAATCTATTCAACTTCCATTATTTCTAATGATCTGTGATTGGACAAATGATCAATTTACTCTGTTCTTTCCCATTTAGGGCCCAATTCCCTGGTCTTCAGCCAGGCAAAACTCGCATTGCTCTTTTGGACAGGGACCATATCATTTGTACTGTACATAGTGTCTAGAGGCCAGGGCCCCATTGTGCTATCATAGTACATATAACATGTTGACATCAATTAAATTAGTGGGAATTCTGCCTGCTTGAATACTGTACTACTGTACATCTAATTAGTCTAATTTTTACACCTTATTTCTATAGTTTCATATAGATACATCAAATAAAAAGAATTCTTTTTTAAAATGAAGGGAAATTGTAGGTAAAATGTTATAAGTAGAGAAGGCTAAGGTACAGGGATCAAAACTAAGGGCCATATTCTTTGCAGTTTCTCCACTGTACATACAGAACAAATCTGTTGATGTCAATGCAGTTATTCTGGATTTACTCATGTGGGAGTGAGAATTGAATTTGGTCCTAAATCCACTGAATGGAAAGAAGAATTATATACATACATGGGGATGTGGTACATGTCCAAAGACATGGCTTTCATTTTGTGAGCACATTTTGCATCGCTACTTACCCAATTATGGGTACCAGGTAGGGAGAGATACACAGGCTCAAATTTGCTACTGTAACTTATTCTGCAGGTGCAAATATAGATATATAAATTGTACACAGGAACTGAGACCAGGTCCAAAACTGACTGAAAGTATATCCCAAAGTCTCCTTTACCTTTAAACTATGTGTTTCTTCTTCAATACATATCCTACTGAAGAGTAATCCAATTACTTTTGAGGAATTCATATTTGAACCTATTTCTTGTTCTTATCTGATCTCCTTTAAGTGCTCTATAACCATATGCTTTTAAAATCTCTGAAGTGCAACAAAATAAAAAAATAAGTATTCACATCTTATTTCACAAATAATGATGTAGTCCAGGAAAGCTGTTGCCTTAAACGACTAGAAGAAAATAAAGTTACAAGTTAGACTTAGGGGGGGAAAAAATCAGTTCCTTCCATCCCATGAGAATTTTTGAGCTTTCAAAAAAAGCCCCTGTTCTGTATTAGGATGAAAAGTGAAAATCTTAATTTTTTTTCATGAACCAAAAATAGACAGAATCCTATCAGATCAATTGAAATGTTTCATTTCAAAACATTTCATTTTGATTTAGACTTTTATATTTTTTCCTACAAACTTCTAAACCAAAAGTCCTTCTGAACCAAAAAAAAAAATGAAGTTTTTGTTTTCAAAATGGATTGTCTTGAAAATTTCAAAGCTTGTTCAATTTTTTATTTTTATTTTTTTAAATGAGGAGTTTGTCAAAACCATTCCTTTCCTGTGATCAGTTTTGGTGTCGACAAATCAGCGTATTCTGGAAAAAACACAAACATTCAGTTACATTGAAAAGTTTAGGCTGACAGTCACCTCAGGGATTTTAAAATCTCAGCAATGGAATCTGAGAATGGTTGCCATTCCACTGAAATGCTTTTTAAATTTATACTGTTGCAATCCTATAAACTTATTCACAGTTCTCTGTTTTAATAACACTTCTATAGTGGCTTTATTGTAATTAGTAATGCACTCTAGTAAACAAAAAAAAGGAAAATTAACATGACAGCAAGAAAACAGCAGTAGGTTAATAAAACATGGGGATGAATAACAGAAATATAAAATGATAGCAGGGTGCAAATGTTATGATGTGATTAAACAAAACTGTTTTAAACTAAGTACTCTGCTACCAGTATTTGTTTTCTAAAAACCTGGGAAATAACATCTTCGTTGTAATACTTTTAATAGGTGAAATATGAAGTGCTAAATTCATCTTGTGTAACTCTTGACTTCAGTGGAGTTACATGTAAGATGAATTTGGCCAATAGATTTTTAAATACCCAGAATCTGACTAAGGGCCTCACCCTCCATATACTTGCTACTGGATGTAGGACTTACTAGAGTGAGTAGTTCCATTGACCTAAAATAAGTGTTTGATTTCTTGCAATAGCAAGGACTACTCTCAGAGTGTGTCTGCAGCATCAGGCTCTAAAATGGGACACAAGACTCTGTTCTATGTTACTAACTAAAATTAATCTTCTTCTGAATGCTCCCTCAAAGATATCTGAAAATAATAAAATCCTCTCAAATAATGCTGATGGTTCATTTGTTTTCATAGGTGGATTTTTCTGTTGCTTCTCTTTGAAATATAATTGGGTTGTGTCCCTGACCATCTTGGCAAATATCCATTGATGGACCTATGCTCCATGAATGTATCTAATTCTTTTTTAACCCAATTTTATTTATATATAATTAAATGGACCAGCTCCTCAGCTGGTGAAGCCACTCAGTTGGAGGTATACTGACATACATCACCTAAAGATCTGGATCATAGAATATCCCATTCAAAAATGCACTGAATGTTGATTTGAAAACTTAAGTCTTCATTTTAGGATGTCACGATGAAGCAATTTTTTTCTTTTCTTTTCCTTTACATGATTGTCTGGTACATCGTCTTTTTATGTAATTGATAAAAAGGAAAAAAGAAAATAACACTTATTTATAAAAGCCTTTGCTGAAGTTTTAATATAAACCAGAGGTTTTCATGTATACTGCTTAACAAATTAATCATTAAAAATTGTTCAAAGTCTAGTTACATATATTTTTATTAGTATAAATATTTTACCAGCTCTTTAAATATTACAGTAATTAATGAGTGCTCCTAAATATAGGTAAAGATTTTTGAAACACAACCAGAATCCTTAGAGGCTTGAAGGCAGTGAGCTGGGTTGGTTTATTTGCATATCAGTATCACTTTATAAAATACCTAGGCATAAAAAATGATCAAAATATTTAAATTCCCTTGGGCTCAAGATGTTTTCTGTTTGATATATGCTTTAAATAATTTACTCTTCCTGAGGAATAACACACATTTGCTGAAATATCTTTGCTATAATTTTTGGCTGTAAGTAATACTAATAGTTTTAGGATGTATTTATAACCTTTGAGTTATTTTGAACATTTTAATGTTTTACTCTCCACACTTTTTTTGCAGAAAGCATTTGTAGTTGAAAGCTGAATAGGCATTTTAAAATATGTATCCAACCAAGTTATTTCTCTTAGCTCTGATGTTAATTTTTAAGCCTTCTTTGGAATAGCAGAAAGTCAAATTTTAATTCCCTGTTTTAATTCCAGATGTACACAGGTCCATATAAACTACAGAATTAACAAAACAGGTACCTTTTTAATAACACTTTACGTCATCACATACAGGTAATAATGAGTCCACATGGGGGAAAACATTGGTTCAGACAAAAGAACAGGGCCTTTGTTAATGACTGTGTATCACATTATGATAAATGGGACATCTGCTATAGTTTACCCTTAAATTTGTACTGTAGATTTGAGCCAAAGTCCCGTCTATAGGTTCTGCACTTCTCAAGCCATTGCTACGTCGCAATGATTCATTGATTTCATTTCCATCAAGCACTCCCCCAAAATACTTTCATCAAAATGGAGGGAAGACCAAAAAGGAAAAAGCAAAACAAAGGAAAACAAACAAAAAAGAAATGTGATTATCATTAAAAGGTATAATCAATCTAGTCTGTGCATCTATTTTCGTCACTAAAGATACCATGATCTTTAGGTCTATGAAACAGAATTAAAAAGGTTGAATATTCCTGAGAAGTAAGTTTATTGCATTAGAATTTAGTTTAAAAATAGAAACTGTATTTTTCAGTATAGTACAATATTCCTCTGTGCTTGCTTCTTTTGAAATATCAACAAGAAAAATAAACTCAATATGGACCAATTATGTATGATGCTTCTAACTCTGCCTCTTCTATTGTCTCTCTTTCTGCTCATTCAGGTGCTTTAAAAACAAAAGTTTTATAAAGTAAGTGTTTTTAATTCTTAAAGTTCAGATCAAATAAATTAAAGTGTATTGAAAATGATTTGTTGAAGGACAGATCCTGCACATCTGATTCGGGCAAAACAATCACTGACTACATAAGGACTATAGTAGCAGTTCTCAGGTTTGGAATTTATCTCCAGTTTCAGGGATCATTGTCTCAGTTGTGTTTTTAATTCATGTGATACTTGGTCCAAAGGTGGCCAATGTTTTGTTCATTCTAAAATATTTTTAAAACAATTTCAGTCAGGGATGAAGTTGAAGGGTAAATCTCATCATTTCCATCATCTCCACTGCATCAGTGATGGTAGACTTGAATAGTCATTTGTCTGTTTTTATCACAAACATCTATGCACTTTTCTTCACGCTTCCCTTTTATGCATGGAATGTTCTCCAGGAATCTATCCATAAGGCCATTATGCACTCCTTCAAATCCATCCTCGCAACCTACTTCTGCTATGATATCTATCAGGAAGGCAACAGTGACTAGGATACATGACATGTTGGTTTGGATGACTTGAATGAAAGTAAGATTGGGCATAAATAATACACACACATAAGTAGTCTTTTTCTGTACTTTCCCATGAGAGTTGGATTGAGCCTTCAAAAACAAAATCATCTTTAAATAATTTGGAACCAAAGTTAAGATCTCACAGCTGTAATCATTATCTCCATTACAATTGTCTCCCTACCTCCATCCTCCTTTTGTTCATCAAACTCACTTGTTTCAATTGGTCTCAAATTAGACTGTAAGGCCTTCAAGGAAAGGACTTCATTTTCATATGTTTCCATGCATCTAGCACAAGGGGGCTAGTCGTGACTGGGAGCTATCACTAGAACTAGTTGATGATAAATGGTAAATATTTTTGTGAAAATTGTCAATTTTTTTTAATTAAAAATGAATTTTGAATTTTTCAACCAGTTCTAACTACCACAATATAAATGACAATAATGTCCAGATTCTGTTTTGTTGCCAAAATCTAGATGTAAAAATTGTTTCATCTTGAAAAATGTTGCAGACAGTTTAGAGTAAATTATAGATTTGCAGTATTAAAAATTAAAACAGTCGAAGCTTTGGGCCACATGCTTTGCCTGTGCAGAAAAACCTAAGTAGGGCCTAGACAACACTGATTCCACAAACAGAAAGTCATTTTGTTAGGAAGGGGGTTCTGTACCCTATGGAACTGGTAAAGTTCCATCCCTGTAAACCCGTCAGGGTCCCAAGATTGTAGATGGACAGAATTGTCTAAAAGGCTTTTTCATCCCTAAACTCTCTGCTTCTATAATCTACCTACGTATAATAGAGAACAGAATGGCAGCTCTAAATCATGATAAGAGCGGATTTAAAGGCCTGTTGTTTGAACACCTATCCTGGTATTTAATTTCTCTTCATTCTCCCGTTGTTGATTTCCTGGTTAAATAAAGGTCACTGAAAGCTGTTTTCTTTATATGATGCATCTTAAAGAAAGAAGTCAAATAAAATCTAATCCCTGAGAATCCGTGATTGTTAACCTTTGCCAAATGAGTCAAAATGTACACTAAACTTTATAATCACTAGCTACAGTAGCTGAGTGGGAAACTGATAGGTGGAAACCAGCATAACAGTGTTAAAGTGTATTTGTTAATTTACTAAATACAATTGCACATAAATTCCATATTTAGAAAATGTACTGAAACAATCATGTTTGTTCGAAAGACTGTTTAACTCTGTTTTAATCCAGAAGACTTCAATTATTTTTGTTAGCAGTGTTAGTGATCTATCAAACATTTTCTCAAGGAGCAATGTCCTTTTTATAGTTGCCCAATAAGAAAGTGTTAAATAAGGCTGTAAGAAAAGGGATACTGGCAGAGTTGTCTCCAGACCTGCAAGTCAGAATTAAATCCGGACGTGGGTTTGGAGTCCACTTCCCTGGAGGTGGATATAAGCACTAGCCAATAGCATCCTCTGCTCACCAGCCACACCAAGCATCAATGTCAATTGCAAATAGAACTGCCTGCCTTCCCTTATAGAAAAAATTGACTTCAATAGAAAAGACACAAACAAATTCTGGGGATGGAAAAATGCAGTAAGCAGAAGGGATATGTAGATTTATTTATTTATTTTATTTTATTTTACACCACTGAAATGAAACACATTCTTTAAAAAGCAAAAATGTAAACCCAAAAACACAACAAAAGGAGAAATGCACACACCAAGTGATTCTTAAAAAAAAAACAAAAACGAACGATCAGAGTAATATTTAGCAAAAGTGGTTAACATGTTGCTTTTTTCAATCATCCACCTTTTAAAGTGTAACTATTGGAATTTCATACATACTCTATCATTAGCACTTTTCAGATCAATGCATAGAACAAGGAAATCCAAGCATAGAGTAGCTAGAGAAATCAGTGAATAAAATGTAGGAATATTTTAAAGATATAACTAAAATTAAAATGACAAAATACTTGAATGTTTTACTGTGGCATTGATTTTTCTCTGTAATTGCTCTATGTATGAATGTAATTAAACTGAATATTGTCATTTCATGTAAACTGCTGAAATAGGTTTGTCTCATTCAATGCTAAATATTTTACAATATCTTAAATGTTTGTTCATAGTGTTGTCACTACACTCTTTGCCCTATGCTGCCTTGGAATATGCGCACACAATTCTTACTGACTTAAATGTCAGTTTTGCCTGAGTATCTTCTGGAATGTGGTCCTATATTGCAGCCTTGGAGCCCAATTTGAGCTCACTGACACCAGTGTGTAGCAGAAGTAATTCAGGAGGTGTTGGAGTTTCAAGGGCTTGTACCTGCAAGGCACTGAGTATTGTGGCCTGATCCACCAAAGCACAGATATCAATGAGACTATGCTTGTACTTTAAGTTTAGCACATGTTTAAGCGGTTGTCTGGATCAGGCAAGAATGTTCAGCACGTTGTGGGTCCATCCCTAAGGCCTTTGAATTGGATTAACTGATAAAGAGGTGTATTGGGGGGAAGCTGAAGTCTTGCTTAAAAAATTGGAGATGTAAATGAAGTTATTTTGATGCTAGAGGAGGAAGGAAATATATTACTCTACCAGTCTGTGTCCTTGTGCTTAGAATACCCAATCTGTTTTTCACTCTGACTTTGATCATGTGGTGAAAAGACACTATTTGAAATCAGGTTTCAGAGTAGTAGCCGTGTTCGTCTGTATCAGTTTTTGTTGTGTGGTGTGTAGTTGCTGGTGAGTATTTGCTTTGGGGTGGGGGGCTGTCTGTAAGTGAGGACTGGCCTGTCTCCCAAGGTCTGAGAGAGTGAGGGATGAGTGAGGCCAGTCCTCGCTTACAGACAGCCCCCCAACCTGAAGGAAATACTCACCAGCAACTACACACCACACAACAAAAACACTAACCCAGGAACCTATCCCTGCAACAAACCCCGTTGCCAACTCTGTCCGCCTATCTATTCAAGGGACACCATCATAGGACCTAACCACATCAGCCACACCATCAGGGGCTTGTTCACCTGCACATCTACCAATGTGCTATATGCCATCATGTGCCAGCAATGCCCCTCTGCCATGTACATTGGCTCAACCGGACAGTCTCTACACAAAAGAATAAATGGACACACATCAGATCTCAAGAATTGTAACATTCAAAAAACAATAGAAGAACACTTCAATCTCCCTGGACACTCAATAAGAGACTTAAAAGTGGCAATTCTTCAACAAAAAAACTTCAAAAACAGACTCCACTGAGAAACTGCAGAACTGGAATTAATTTGCAAACTGGACACCATCAAATTAGGCCTGAATAAAGACTGGGAGTGGATAGGTCACTACAAAAACTAATTTTCCCTCTGCTCATACTCACACCTTCTTGTCAACTGTTGGAAACGGGCCACCTTGATTGCATTGGCCTAGTTAGCATTATAAAAGTAATTTTCCCTCCCTTGGTATTCACCCCTTCTTGTCAACTGTTGAGAATAGGCCATTTCCACCTTAATTGAATTGGCTGGTTTGCACTGACCCCCCCACTTGGTAAGGCAACTCCCATCTTTTCATGTGCTATAATATATATTCTGCTTACTGTATTTTTCACTCCATGCATCTGTTGAACCCATGCCTCTGTTGAACCCAGTTGAAGTGGGTTCTAGTCCACAAAAGCTTATGCCCAAATTTGTTAGTCTTGAAGGTGCCACAGGGACTCCTCATTGGTTTTTATTTGAAATCAATTAAGTGAAATTAGCATGCCTGAGACCCAAAGTAAACTTTGCATTTACAATATTGCAAAAGCTTCTACCTGAGGGAAACGAGAAATGGACCAAAAAATCGTCACATAATGGATCATGCAATATAACTATTAATACTCCATGATGCCTTAATTTTTACCTGACCTGCACTCTTCCCAGTAATCTCTCTCAGGCCCATCGCTAACACTTCAAACCTTGAAGCTGCTTTCAGAAAGCTGCCATTATTTCAAAAATGCCTTTCCTCCTATATGGCTGGGGGAAGTGCACTTTCTGTTAGTCAGCACAATATACAATACTCCCCCGCTTCCCCCCCACCCTCCTGCTTTCTTCCTCCTGTTCAGTCAGGGCTAGATTCTGAAAGCCCTTGGTGGGCCTGAGCCTCAGTGGGCACAGGAGCCAGCCCAGTATTGGGCAGAAGTAGCCACCAGATTCTATGGAGGCATCTTCTTGGACATGAATTTGAGTTGTAGTCAAGGGGGGCATTAGCCACCTACAGCAGCACTTTCCACCCTGGCACCTGCAACCTGAATCCTGCCCTAGTGCAGAGGGAGGGGTGGGAGATACTCAAGAATAAGCCTGCTACACCCTGCACCAACCCAATAGTGGTGCTCCCCTCCTGGGGGCCCAGCTCTCCCTTCAGGCATTGTGACCTGGCATGCAGGGTTGCAGTGCCACTCCTATTTGGCCTGGCTGCCCCTCCGTCATGACAAAGGGTTTGACCAGGCCAAATTTAAGTGAGTGGTGGTGTGACCTGGTGCATGGTTTGCAGCGCCACTCAGGTTTGGCTCCCTTCGTTTCATGATAGCTGTAGATACAGTTGAACCCATGGAACCAGGCTAAAGCTGCCCCTAGAAAATAGTTACATAAAATATAGGAACTGGGCCTTATGTGAGTGGAATTTCTGAAAATGCTGGACAAAGTGCATGGGCTTGGAACAAGACATTGCAAACTTTTTTTGTGTGTAAATACCAATCCTTCCCTACAAACATTACCATTTTAGGGCTAGTTCTTGCACACAGGAATCTCCAGGCATGGTGTATTGTGTAATAGAGTTATAATATGCTGGCAATATAAGGGGAATAAGCTGATAAATCACTTTACACTTGTGATCTAAATAATAATTTGAGCCCAGGTCTCCAGAAATTGAAAGACTCTTGAGCTTTAATAAAATTTGAAATCTGATTTGTAGCAATATTCTACATAATGGCCTCATCCAACTCCTGTAAAAGCCAAAGAAAGATTCTTACTGACTTGAATAGAAGATGGATCAGGTACTTGATGAAAGGCTGGGGGGAAAAGTAATGTCTCCACCATTTTCCCCTATAAAAAAAAATCAGCAATGAGTAGTGGAAGTCTAACTCACATAGTTGAGTACTGTGGCCCAAATCCTAGAAGTCTTTACTCAACATTTACTCTTTGTTAAGAGAGGACTTACAGGATTTGACCTTTAGGCCAACCCTATTTGCGATGAGTAGTAACATACTTCACAAGTAGTCCCAATAGATTCAATGGAGGGCACAGAACCTCACCAGATCATAGCTCTGTTGAAGTCAAGTGATAGTTGTATGACATTTTATACTAGCTGAGGATGTGACCTCCACATGAGTAAAGGTGACACAATCTGGTACTCAAATACTATGATAAAGAAAAACAGACTTGGTTGTGTTTAACAGAAAATGTACTTTCCACCAGCAGCAAACCTCATAAAAAGTGAACTTTTATCAAAAACTGCATTTAGATCAGATACATCATTAGAGCTCAATAGAAGTCCTTAGGGTCAAATTAAGAAACTATATTTAATAAATCTCCATGCAATTGTGTGTGCCAGCAACATCCACAATCATGGAGCACTTTGACAGTGCTTTCACAGGGTGAAATTCATCCCTGGACAGTGGGGCCTGCACATGGTTCATCCACAATTTAAATCCTCCTTAATCCCTCTTTTGAGGATTTAAGTAGAATTTTTGTGTGGTCCTTGTACTGACCCACTGCCCAGGGTGAATTTCACACTATGTTACCATTTTATTTCTACAGCCACTTTAAGCAGTGCCATCCTTACCAACCAAAGCCATTTCTTAGGGCAAATCCCTCTCTCTCTTGCTCAAAGATGTGAGTATTGCTAGTTTGTTTGTTTTTTTTACCTTGTTCTTCTTCCTCTTCCGGCGGAATCTCAGAAGCTCTTTATGCTGCCTTGACACAAAATTTACAGCTGCATACTCCAGAAGTGCAGAAAATACAAAGAGCAGGCATACTGCCATCCAAATGTCGATAGCTTTGACATATGAAACCTATGGAGAAAGAGACTGAAAATATTAGAAACACAGATGTGAATTTCACTATCTCATAATACCAGGGGGAAATAAATTAGTGTCCCCAGACCACCGTGCTATTTTTACCAAAGAAGCACTAGCATGAAAGCTCCTTATATAACAGAGGACAAAAGGTTCAGTCTTTATTCCTTACAATTTAATTTTATGGGAAAATATATTTCTTGCTTCTTTTTATGAGCAAATCTTTGCACAAATGATTAGTACTTCATTAACATTTCTTCATGATCTGCTATACATTGCATTTAATCAAAACCCTGATAATGTAAAGGGAAAAGCAGAAAGATCCAGAATTTTTTTTATTTCTGGATGGGTATGGTCCATTTTCTGCAGACATCTGCTCAAGCAGCACAAAGAGGGTGGCATGTGGCTAAAATTGACCAGCAAGAAACTTCTCTGGCCTGGGGAACTCCCCAGTGGCATAAAGCTAATGCAGTTTAGGGGCTGTGTTGGAGAAAGAAGAGATTGTAATAAAGCAGAACTCTGCTGACATTGGGTCCATTCAAACAGCTGCAGTAACTCAGCTGCAGTAACTCTTGCTAGCCCTGAGGAAGTGCACATTGGCCCTGTTCCCTCATGTGCTGCTCCTCTCCTGTGGAGCACAGTCACAGACGCAATCTGGCTCTGTAATCCAGGGCCTGCTCCTGCTCTGACAGAAGCCAGTTAGGGGTTTGATGTTTAATCCAACCAGAAGCAGACCCCAAATATGTGATTTTAAATGTATGCGGTTTTCTCAGATATAATAATAATTTGTTCTCTTTTTTTTTCATGTATATGTAGTGTAATTGTTTTCCCAGTTGTTGTAGCTTTTAGTTTTCTACCTCTTAAAGTATCTATTATAGGGCTGTTGTAGTAACTGGGGCCTAGTTGGCTTACATAGAGATACAACCTGGCTGGGTATTTGACTGGCTTGACTTAATGGATTTGCCAGAAAACTAATTTAATCTGCTGACTTTTTTTTAATGGGTCTAAAGATTTGAATTATCACAATAGACTGGGATAGCTAGTGTTTATGTACAGCTGACAATGCTGCAGTGTTCCCACTTCTGCAGTTTAAGTAAAAAAAATGTTGTTCTCAATCTTATCTATATGTGTGTTCTCTCTAGATACTATAAGTGACTGTTGGGGGCGGTAATTTTGGAGTTGCTTTGTGATTGAGGGTTGGGGTTGCGGCAGGTTTCCCTTTTTGGGGTGGGTGGGTGCTGGTTTCTTTGCATGTCAAAAGCGGTAACTCTAGGCCTACCCCATTTGTGAGCATAATTGTGGGAAAATAAGAGTTTATAAAGTGTTACAATAACTTACAACAATAAATATAGCTGGAGCAAGGTTCAAAAAGAGAGACTGACCTAGTCCAAACAAAAAGATCTACTAATATAACCCAAGGACAGTGTTAAGATCATGTAAACAAGAGAAATGTGGGTCTGGAAACCAATAAACCCAAATTGGTGGGGAAATTAGGCCTACTGGTAGATGAAACAATGTGGGTGGGCTATTCTACCCATCATTCCCTTTTGGGATCCTTAAGAGAAGATTTTTGGGGGAAATTGAAGGTGGATGCTGCCTGACTGAAAGATGGAAGAATAGGAAAGAGTGAGCTTCACCATGATGGCTGCTACCCCCCTCCTTTCCTGAAACCCTGGGATTCACTGTAATAGCATTGGTCCTTCACTGTCTTGATCCTGAGAGATATCCTAAACAGACCGGGTCTGAGAGAGGGATCCAGATAACATTGGGATTTAGCCAGAGCTAGTGGAGATGGCAAACACCATTTGGGATGTGAAACTTTGTTATACTTCCCCCAAACTTCTGTGTCTTTTCCTTCCCTACCTTATTTTTTGTTTTTCCTATTGTTCCTTTGCCTTCTGTTTAATAAGAGTCTGGCTTAGCTTGCTGAGGTTGCACATTTTGCAACACTGCTCTGAGCCTGTGACCAAAGAAATGGTTAAAAACAATGCCCCAAATAGCCTGATGCTGGTACAAGTTCACCAGGTATCAGAGTGGCTAATAAGATTGTGTGCCATGCCCGTGTTTCTCCAGAAGAGAAGTTGCAAGTGTGAGTCAACAACAAAGGCAGAAGCTGCATATTCTATCATTACTGTTTGTTTTTCTCTCCCCTCTTGTGTGTTTATCTTATGTCTTCTAGGAGACTGGATTGGACTTTAACAACAACAACTCCAGCCCGTCTCCACTTTTCCTTCCCCCCCAAAAAGGAACAGTTATTACCGCCTATTATACCATCTAAAAGACTGTTTGCAGTTTAGTTGTAGCCATGCTGGTCCCAGGAGATAAGCGAGACAAGGCAGGTGAAATAATATCTTTTGTTGGATGAATTTCTGTTGATGAAAGAGACAAGCTTTTGAGCTTAAAACAGTCTAAAAGCCTGTCAGACATGGTTTATTTTCTGTTTATAGATCCTCTACAGTGAAAGGGAACAAGTATTCCTTATATAGTTTACATTTTAAACGCTTTCGCTGTTTTTCTTTCTTTTGTATCTTTATTAAAAATCTTTTAAACCTTTTATTAGTGTTTGCCATGGTAATTAACTGGCTGAGGTCTCTATATCAAACCCTGAAGCTTTGGTGAAAATTGTTCAGTATTGGACAGTACAGGGTCACGTTCATACTTTTGGCTCTTTGGGCCCATATATTCCATCAAAATTAATACAGCAGGGTCCTACATTGTGGGACACTAAGCTCTCTCTGCAACCAAAGGCATATTTATTTTGATCAGAGGAAAAAAAGTCTGGCTCCAACAACCAGGAGAATAATATTTACACAAAAATGAGGGGTAACAGCAAACATATCAAATTATTCCCAGTGACTTCAGTGGGAGTTCAGGGTGATTAGTCTTTCCTGTAAAAGAAAACTTCTAAGTAATGACACTTAGGCAATTTAAAAATGGACAACATAAATCTGTCTGGGGATTTCACCATGCTGATGACAGACACCTTTGTAAAACACTTTGGGCTAGATTGTCACCCTTACTCAGCCAGGCGGTCAGATTGTGGCTGTGGAGGTGATACTTGTCCAATACTCCTCATGGTAAGAGGATGGTGAAGGGGTGGTCTAAGGATGAGCCCTGAATCCATGAGAATAGCTGACCAGATGCATATAGTAAGCTCTTCAATGAAAAGAGAAATAACGTGCTGTGCCCCCAGAACCAGGGTGGGTAGCTGGAAAGAGATTGTTACTCTGTAAGTCATAATTTTTGATTTGGTCTCTTTGTGGGAGAGTACAGCTACATGCTGCCCTTTTACTCACGGCAGACTGTAAAGCTGCAATATTCTCAATATTTGCTAAATACATTGGCTTGTATCACAATCGAGAAAGGGACAAACTCATCACAGACCAGCACATAAAAATCTGGGCAACACTAGTGGAGCAGTGAAGAACACTGTTTCTTCAAGGTTCAAAATCTGTACCATTGAAGTCACTGGAGTTAAGCCAGTTGAGAATTTGGCCCAACAGATCAGTTGGTAAAAAGGTAGAATGTGTTCTGTTGAATAAAAAATTAAAAAAACAAAAACAAATCAAAGTGATGTATCTCCCTTCTGTTCATCCTTAATGAATAAATGTATCTGTTAATAAGAAGAGCACATGTTGTAAAGGTTATTGAAGGCCTCTGACAGCCATATAGAACCATCATTTGTACTAACACAGTGATTCTGGTATAGTACAAGCAAAGCAGTTTTTTGCCTACCTTTGGAAGTGATGCTCGTGAACCTGAACTTTGTGTTGTCATGGTCAGTACAGTTGTTATACCTAAAGCCACTCTGGCTGGTGCTGCATCCATATTGATCCAAAACGACACCCAGGAGAGAATGACAATCAGGAGACTCGGTATGTACATTTGAATGAGATAATAACCCATTTGCCTTTCAAGGTGGAATCGGACTTCAATGCATGTAAACTTTCCTAGTTGTAACCCAAAAAAAAAAAAAATTCATGAAAATAGGAAAGCAATTTTCGTCACTAACACACACTCTAAATAAAACATTTATATGAGCAGTTCAACTAGACTTGTCTTCTAGTGGAGTTACAATTGTTTTGATTGATCTTTCAGCATACATAAATTTCCCCATCACCATAGGAACATCTGTTTGGAGAGAGAAATTGAATTTCCAAAAATTTCTCTGCTTGTAGAATTCAGTAAGCTGCTCTAGAGCTGTTCTTCTTTTGAAAGTAACGATCACAATGAAACACACTAACCATAATGGTCATAATGAGCAACAGGTCATTTTCCAACCTTTGCCAACTGAGCTGCTATTTGGAGATATTGCCATCTGCAGAAGGACGTTGTGCTCTCCTGTGCCATCAAACTTGCCATCCCATGGCTCAGTTTTAAGTTTAATTTTATTTCTCAAACATAACCTAAAAGGGAAATCTGGGTGGCCTCAGGGTAATAATTAGAGTTGCTGACAAGTTATGTATGCCTCACCCCCTTCCAAAATGTTCTAACTTGAAAACCTAGTTACCAAGGTTTTCAAAACTCTGGGCTTCTAATTAGGTTACTTTTGGACTTTAGGAACCTGAATAAGTGGCTTCTTTTTTTCAAAGTGCTGAGCACCCACTGACTTGATTAAAAGTGAGCAGGAAATGTATTCACCTGTGGAGGTAGAATATCACCGTTGCCACCAAAACAAAACAAACCGTGCTAATGCTCCTACGCCAGAATTTGTCACTGTTCCTGACCTTGTGGTGGTCTCCTTTTATAATTCCCTTTGTTTCTACTAAATATTAGCATTTGAAGGCAATATTATTGATATATTTATTGACAGCAGAAATTATATTTCACCATGGATCTCTGTGCTTATTTGAATGAATGCATTTTAATCATTCTGGATTTTGGATGGAGGCATTTATATTAATATTTAAAAGGTGTGCAGTTATTCCAGAAGATGTTGATTTTCAATAAATTATACCAATTATTTTTTCTGATCCACTTTTACCCACACATTTATACAAAATCTCATGCTTATTATCACATTCATGTACAATCCTGTATTATCTTTGTACCGAAACAGCATTATTTGGCATACAGAAATAAATTTCCAATTGATGAAGCCGAGTTAAAATTTCTTACTACTCCACTTCTGGACAAATTAAATGACTGGTAAAGTATATCATTTATTTTTCCTTAAGGTAGCTTTGTTATAAAGCCATTAGTCTTGTCTGTAGATTTTTGTAGTAAATTTCATGGAGAGTAATCCTTATTTCTGTGAAGTAACACAAGTGTCCAGATTTAAGTAAGACTGTGGTGGTGGGACCCAACTGTCAAATGCAAAAATCCTATTTTAAAACTAGAGAAAATAACTTAAGGAGTTTTATAGCTACCAGCTCAATCATTCGCTTTGCTCATAATCTCTGTCTGTAACTCCTAAAGAGAATTCTCTAGTACTGCTGATTTATCTAGCCCAATCCTACCATAAAACCCTGGCACATGCCTTGCGTTGCTTCAACTTTTTCAACCTCCCCTTCTCTGGCCTTGCTGATCCACTGGTGAAACCCTGGCCTACTGAAGTAAATGGGAATCTTGCCATTGACTTCAGTGGGGTCAAGATTTTACCCCACATCTCTCCCTCCAGTCTATTCAAAATGCTGCAGATAAAGTGATCTCACTTAGCAGTTTCACCTATTCCATCCGCCTACTTGAATGTCTGCACTGGCTCTAAACTTTTGCATCCTTGTCTTGAAGGTTCTGCACATCTATGCTTGTGACCTTTTGGTCTGAGAATTCAGTACCCCTTAACAGTCCCCTGGTAATCAGTAATCCCATGCTTTTTCTTCAAACAGTCCTCTTTGGCTAGAAAACCCACCCAGATTTTATATTCCATACAACCTCATTTTCCTTTTTCCTCTCAACTCCTTTCTTTTGCCTCCATTTTCAAATCTTGACCTAGGTATCTCACTTATTAAAACAAACCTGAACAACAACAAAAAAAACCCCCCTCACAACCTTTATGGTAACAAGTTTTATATATAACATTATTGTATCTCATGTCTCCCCAATATCTCACAGCTCTGTTCATTGTCATCCCTTTTGCATGTTGTGTCTGAATTAGATCCTTGAGGCAGGGACCTGTCTTATTACTTGTCTGTAAGGGGCCCTGCATTTCTATGGTGCTGTCCAGATAACAGCTACTGAGGACAGGAAGCATTCTGGATGAAACATGCTTGAAAATTTCTTAAGGACCCATAAAAAGAAATGTCTCCATTAAGGCTGTGCCTTGTAATGTTTACAACTAGTGGAATAGTGTGTGAGTGACAGCACTTCTCAGTAGACTAGTCAGATTTAGCAGGCCTCAGGCTTAGTGACATCTGAACAAGAGGTGGTGGTAAATGCAGTCAGGGGTAGTATAGAGTATGTCTGATATGCCATGGGGAGTCATAAAAAGAAAATCAGGAGCAGGAGTGAAAGTTCAGACAAATCTGGGTTTCTGCGAAGTCATTTCAATAGGGTTCTTGGGCTGTAAGGAGTGAGACTTAGCATCCTCTTCCAACTCCCCCACATTCCTTTTCCATTCTAGCTGGCAGCTAAGGGCATGGGAGGGGCAAAGAGCAGTAGAATGGATAATGCCTCCATAACTGGTGTGTGTGAGTGTGGGTTTGGGATAATCATGTATTAAAGTTTTCCTCGTAATCATGAGGAGGGTGACACTGCATTATACTCCAGACAGAGGTGTGACAAAGGGGGAGACATGCTAATTATCCAGGAGGGCTCAAAGTATTACCACCACACAGCTCAAAACATGTGGTATTGGAGCATAAGCAATAAATATCACAACAGCCCTGGTGTGGTGTGGCCCCTTGCAACTGCAGGTTTGACAATATTGTCTGAACTGAGCAGAAAGAGGTAGGGGGCTAGAGAACAGAACCTCTTATGAGCAAAAGAGCCATGATTGAAAGGAAGGGTGCAAATAGAAGAGATTCTAATAAAGGGAGAAATGGCGATGGGGTTATGATCAAGCTAAGATTGACATGGCATTGGGTGACATTTCAGACAATTGCTGCTGATGTGTGAAGTGGCTTTGTTTAAGTGCAAAAAAAAATCCTACAGACAATGTTAAACAAGAACATAAAGGAAGAAAAATGGAAGGAAAAATTATGGAATCCCGCTTCCCCCCCCCCCAAAAAAAAAGAAAAAGAAAAAGAAAATCAGCTGCTAGAAGGATTCTCTTTCCAAACAAATTCTGTAACTGACCAGGAAATAACATTAGTAGTCAAGGAAGACCCAATGCTGTGCACATGTGTGTCTGAGAAAGCATGTAAGTTGGGGGGTGGAAAGGGGTGTATGAAACCCTGCACCGATGAGTAGGGGCTAGGGATGCTCTGTGTGCTAAGATAGCCCCACCTCTCTGGCCCTGCCAATCATGCATGGTAAGGAGGAAGCTGTAGTCAGCAAGGGGAAAACCCTGAGAAAGGAGTGGGAACATATTAGTTGGAAGTGACAGGAGGAAGGGAAGACCTGGGTGTACTGGATGATCACAGGATGACTATGAGCTGCCAATGTGGTGCGGCTGTGAAAAAGGCTAATGCAGTCCTAGGATGCATAGGGAGAGATATTTCCTATAGAGACAGGAAAGTGTTACTATCATTATACAAGGCACTGGTAAGAATACTGTGTGGAGTTCAGGTCTCCCATGTTTAAGAAATATGAATTCAAACTGGAAGAGGTGCAGCGAAGGGCTACTAAGGTGATCCGTGGAATGGAAAACCTACCTTATAAGAGGAGACTCAAAGAGCTTGATTTGTTTAGCCTAACCAAAAGAAGGCTGAGGTGAGATATGATTGCTCTTTTTAAAATACATCAGTGGGATAAATACCAGGGAGAGAGAGGAGTCCTTTAAGTTAAGCAGCAATGTGACACAAAAACCCTGGCACGGGGGGTTGGAGGGGAGGAGGTTGTTCACCTTTCTCTGCAGCGTGGGGCATGGGTCACTTGCAGGTTTAAACTAGTGTAAATGGTAGATTCGCTGCAACCTGAAGTCTTTTTAAATCATGATTTGAGGACTTCAGTAGCTCAGGCAGAGGTGAGGGGTCTATTACAGTAATGGGTGGGTGAGGTTCTGTGGCCTGCAATGTGCAGGCAGTCAAACGAGATGATTATGATGGTCCCTTCTGACCTGAAAGTCTGAGTCTATTAAGTGATTGTTGCAGGGGGGCCCAGCCCATGTAGGATGGTGCCCCAGAGACACTTTTTTACAGGGAGGTTAAAAGGCTGAGTCTACAAGCACAGTAAAGGCAATAACTGCTGCTATCATGGAATACTGTGTGTGTGTGTTCAGACAGTGGTGCTTTGCATCTTCTCAGATGTATGCATGATTCCACTGTAATATCAGCACTAGTACTAACATGGAGAGGCAGGATTTCACTGTTATCAGCATCAGTGCTGGGATACCCTGGTGGGAGCATGTGTGTATATTGAGAGAATGAGGCCATGCACGCCAACCACTGTGAAACTAGCACAGAATGTTAATATTAGTAATGTTTATTTACTGAATGCTGTCAGTGTAATGACTCACACATGCTAATGGCTGTTAGTGTGATGGCAGTATGAGGGTCTCTTGTGGTAGTACCACGATTGCAGGCACTTACCAAAAAAAAACCAAACCAAAAAAAAAAAAACCCACCACCAAAAAAACCTCAGCTGGCAAAGTAGTGAGCCTAAGTGACTCATTATGCTAAGGGAGAGGGGGGAATATGAAACCGAATGGAACTAGGAGGAAGGCACTGCTATTGGCTATTGATATTGGAGTCAGGAGTTAACTGTTTGCTAAGGGAATTTATACAAATAGGTACTTCCACAGAAAAGATGCTTGCCACTTCAAAGAGCTTATAACCTAAATATAAAACAAGAGACAACAGGTGGATTCAACAAACAGATGGCAGGTGGACAGATGGAGCGCAGGTAACAG